AGGAGGGGGCGCCCCGGTGGCGGCAGTCGGACGCGTTTTGCCCTATGACCCCGCCCCTCTGCGTTGATGTGGCCTTTGGGGGTGACATCTGCGCAGCTGCCCCATGGAGTCTGAGCAGGGGACTGCGGCCCAGGCTCTTCAAGGCATAGAAATGACTAGGAGATGGACGGCTCGCTCCTTTTGAGGATGTGGGTCCAGGTGCCTGGGTGGTAATGGGAGAACACCCGTGTACTCCACGATGGTCCCTGCCTTCGTGTTCTCTCTGGCATTTGCCTCTGCGTGGAAGAGGAAAGATGACCAGACCAGTCGTACAAGCCTAGTCCAGGGCTCCAGGCTTCCTTGCGAAGTGCACTCATGCAGTCAGTCATGGCCCAGCTTCGATCTCTGGCAGCGATCCTTGCCCATGAGTTGTTTTCCCAATGGTGCATGTGTTCAGGACCGTCTCTGTAAGGGCCTGATAAGGGAGGCTGGGTCTGCGGAAAACTTGCTGGTATAGGAAGTGACGTGACGATGTGGATGCTTTCGTATTTCTACGTTGTAAAAGGCCTGCTAGCAAAAGGGTGTTTTTTCTACGCTTACTTAGTTTGGGAACTGGTATAAAGGATGCTCCCAGAAACATTCTGGCCAGTATCAATTCTGTTGGTTTGCCAGCTGAACACTGTTGTCAAAGCCTTTTTAGTGTAGACCAGGCCTAACTCAGGACTTACCTGTATACAGAAGCGATACCAGCTTTTTAAAATAATTTTTACAACATTGTTTTAAACCCCCTTTGTAGACACGCATACTGGTGTAAATGGGGCTTACACTGAAACAAACAAAATTGATAGAGACTTGTTTAAGCTGAATGAGGAATTTCTGTGCACCAGTTTCTCTCAATCTATTTTTAAAACAAACTTTTTGTAAAACTGTTGCAACTTTGTGTGCACCAGGCCTTTGTTAATGGATCGTTGCCTTGAACATTAGGTGCCTCGATTCAGTTCTGTATCGTATCAGGCAAGGATGAGGTCCGTAATTGCGTGTTTCAAGAATAACTATTATAACACCTAACTTTTAGGCGTGTGACTCAAGTGGAATCCACAGCCTAGGTTAGGCATATAGGCTCCTTATATGGTGCATAGAAAGTTCTTTGAAATGCAGATGAGGTAATGATGAAGTCTATTCAGGAAATAAAAATATGTTGAAGTCTGTAGTTAAAGGAAGACAACATTTGAAACTGGAAAATAAAAATTGAATTTACACAAATAAACTTATTCTATCTTTGTAGCCAGCAGGATGCAACTTTGTGCCTCTAATGAATATTAAACCTACTTTTCACATTTTAAAACAATTAAAAAGCAATGTATTCCACATGCATATCCATCCTTTTTTCCCATGGAGGGATTTAATTATTTAAAACAGGGCTGTCCAACATGTGAGTGGCTGGGGGCGTGACCCTGGGTGTTATACTGTGGCAGGTGCTTCCCCCCCACCCTCAAGTACTGCACTGTGCCATGGGTGCTCCACCATGGATGCTACACTGTGACCTGCATACTTTGCCATGGTACATTGGCTCCCCCACCACCTACCACAATGAGTTTCCCCCTACTGTATTGTGCTGATACAACTATGCTGTGTCAGGTCCCTGGGTGTCCCCTGAAATGCCAGGCTGCAGATTCCCTCACCCCTGCAGGCTGTGTTGGCTCATCCCAAGGGGCAGGAAGAGGAAGCCAGGGGAAGGAGGGAAGTCTAAAGACTCCAGCAGCAGCCATTGTGGGGGAGTGGTGCCCTGGGGGCTGCAGGTTAACCCCTTGGGGGCCAAATGCAGTCTGCAGTTTGCCATTTGGGCGACCCTTATTTACAACAACTACTGTACCCTTTTAGACTAGAGACACTCCTTGGAAAATGCAGGCTCAGCTTTTAATAATTTCTTGACTGTGGAAAAGAAATAAAATATTTCTTCTGTTGCACTGAACTCAGAAAGACCACAACAGGTCAGAAGACCGTGGTGTCAAAAAAAGTTCTATTTTAAATCTCTGTTAATCTTGTGAATTGTATGGGTGTTCATGCACCTAATAGTGTTAATGTGTGGCACACTGCTGCATCCTTAAAAGGATTTTATGGTGCCCCAAAGTGCTGCACCACCCTGGTTGAGAATCACTGTTCTATACAAATGTGAGTTGATAGGAGAAATTGTAATGTGCTAGTGTCATAGAGAAATAGGGCTGGAAGGGACCTCCAGAAGTCATCTAGTCCAGCCCCTTGCCTGAGGCAGGATCATCCCTATCCAAACCATCTCATACAAACCATAATTTAAACTGTACATAAAGGTGTTAAAGGTGGCTGCTTTGATTTGTGAAATAATAGATACCAGAGGTTTGGAGACTGATCTTTTCAATGATAATGAGCCCGGAAGATGGAAGAAAGAATGACAGGAACATGGATACTGCAGAATTTCACTCCAAGAACCAATGTGGATCTAGTTGCTACTTCTGCACTTATAGCCACATAAGTTCAGATCTGGATGGTGCTTTAGTGCAGATGGAACTAGTTGAGTACAGAGTTTAAAAGATTATTGTGATCCTGGGATATACACTCAGGAATCTCTGGTAGAAGTTAGGAAGGCTGCATTTGTGCGGGTGCAACTCTTACTGGAATACTGTGCACAATTCTTCTATCCTTAGTCTGAGAGTTGCAAGAATGGAGAAAGTGCAGAGAATACTCATGAGATTGATTCAAGGATTGGAAAACGTGATATGTAGTGAATGATTCAAGGAAGTTAGTTTATTTAATTTATCCTGCTAATACAGAAAAAGAGCAAAACACCTCTTTTTATCAGAAGTTGATTGGCAGTGTAGGTTATATAAAGGGTACAAAACAAGTTGTTTAAAAATTAATAAAGTGTTTCAGTGTAACATGAGATGCAAGCAGTCAGAATTCCAGCTACCAGAATGAATCCCTAAAATCTAGTTATTAGGAACGACTGTGTCCATTTTTGGTTTTGAATCATTAAACCTGTTCAAAAACAACCCACCTATCTTGGGCAACCCTGGCTTATTTTAGCAAGTAACAATTACTTTTTAAAAACATTGCCATTTTTGTAGGTTTAGATGACTTGGTTTTAGGCTTGATATTCTAACTGTGTACAGGCTGTGGATAACTTTAAAAAAGTAATCCTGTTAAGTTAGTTAACAACTTTACCTGGAAAATGTTTAGAGATTGTTTTGTTTATTTGGGTATTTTTGTTTTTGACAGTTCTAATATTTTATTCTAGGGATAGTCGACTCTTGTGGTAGTTACTATAATACCCAGTAAGGCTACAGTCTTTCAGGGAATTAATTTCCATGCAAGTCATTTGTAGCCAACAATATGCAAGCAATGATGTTTTGACTTCTTGAGCTTATAGAGCAGAAAAAGTTTGCTTTCCATAAAATCATGCAACAATACTGGTTATTTTAAATAATAAGCATTTTTTAGCTATTAAGTAGAAAATAATAAAGTGACAGACTTATTTTCCAGCATAAAATGGAAAGTGGTCCTGAAGGGCTGCTTCTGTGCAGATTTTTGCTGGTCATTTCCTCTCTTGTGCAGATTTTGACTGCCCCCTTGAACACTACACGCCATTCCTGTTCTGTAGTTCATGTTGACACTGGCATTGATTTCCCAGAGCAAACAAAATAGCTCGTTGTTCGGAACTGCTTGATTTATCAGCATTGGAGAGCCCCCTAGCCCAATGACTGTTTTGAGAATAGAGTCTGTTCACATTATTCTCTCTCCAATTTCACTCAATCCATGTCAACTGCAGACGAAATAGGATTCCATTTTAGGAGTACTTGAGATACCATTTGTATATTCTAATTATGCAGAATGGAATTGGATGAGCCTGTGCCAGTATTGCTACAGTAGTCTGAGTTTTCTGTAAATTTAAGTGAGTTTTCTAGCTTTTTTTTTGCTTTTTTTGAAAAATCAGAACCAGAACTGTTAGGCTGGTTTTTAGGATTTGGGGAGGATAATTTTTTATTGCATATTGTTCATAAGGGTGACTTGTGTATGGTTTTGTAAATAAGTCTGATGTTAATGACACAGAACCAACCACTATTTAGGATCTGCATAGTGTCTAAGCAACAAGTATGTATTAGTTCTTATGGTAATATAGTATTATTAAGTTCTGGGATCTTTTCCAGCAGCCACCAAGAGTTCTTATTATTCTGAGAATGTTGGCTGCCAGGAGTCTTAGCAGTGTGAACTATTCACCCAACAGCTTCTCTTTTGGACCTGGTTCTGAGTAGTTCAGAAAGCAACACTTAGCTAAGCCCACTGTTCAATATGGGACACACATGCAGAGATCAGCTTTCTCATATGGTATAATACAGACTCCATTTCTCTAGAATAAGAGAAACAAAGGTTTTGAATGAATGGTAGTGTCTTCCACTAGACTAGAAGCTCTGCATGCATTCAGCATTTTTTTTATAAAACCATATTTTGCATGAAGATATAGTAAACTCATAGTTTCTTGTATTAAACTCAGGCATGATTATAACACTTGTCAATGAACTGGAAGGTGCAGTTTAGGAGATCGGGGGGGAATTGTCTTGCTGAAAAACATGTTTTCCTCTGATATTGTAGCAGACAGCCATGATTAGTTTTCCATTCTAATGGATTGGGTTTTTTCCCTTGTTTAATTTCATGTATCTATTTCTACAAATGACTAATTCTGTATATATTTTTTTCTCTTTAAAGCACTTGAGTCACTTGTAAAATTGTCTTGAAAAATCAGAGAAAAGAAGATGTATCACATTGTTCAATATCAGCATCTGAAACTAATAACCCAGAACACTGTTTCTAAGGTGCATTTAAAGTTGATTTTTCCAAGGACCCTGGCATTTGCACACCTGGGAAGGTCATGGATCTCAAATCACTGTCATGCTGCAGATCAGAATATTGTCCTGATGGGACCTCCTGGTGCTGGGAAAACAACAGTAGGGAGAATAGTAGGTCAAAAACTGGGCTGTCCTGTCATAGATGTAGACAACGATGTCCTTGAAAAAACCTGGAATATGAGTGTGTCAGAAAAATTGCAGGATATTGGTAATGAACAATTTTTAGAAGAGGAAGGAAAAGCCCTGTTAAAGTTTTCAGCATCTGGAAGTGTAATTTCCCTTACTGGATCCAATCCAATGCATGCTGCAAGTATGCAGCACGTGAAGAAAAATGGGTTAGTTGTGTATCTGGATGTACCCACAAGAGACATAATAGATAGACTGGAATTCCTAAAACTGGATCGTATTGTGGGTCAGGGGCCTCAAATTTCCATGAGAGACATACTTCAGTATAGGAAACAGTTTTATAAAAAGTGGTATGATATCCGGGTTCTTTGTGAAAGTGGGATTACAGCAGAGGCTATAGCAGATAAAGTACTTGACGCAGTGAAGAGGTATCAAGACTCAGAAGCAGAAACTTTTATTTCAACCAGATATGTAAAGTCTGAAAAATGCGATCAAAAAGACCCTGCTAAATATTTCAGTGATGTTGTGATTGAGGGCTTGGCATCTGATGGTGGACTCTTTGTTCCTGTGAAGGGGCTTCCAAAATTAACTGCTGGAGAATGGCAAAGCTTAGTAGAAGCAACCTATGTTGAAAGAGCCCAGATTATATTGGAAAAATGTATACATCCTGCTGATATACCTGCTTCAACACTGGGTGCAATTGTTGAGATTGCTTATGGAGAGAATTTTACCTGTTCTAAAATTGCCCCTATTAGGCACTTGTCAGGCAACCAGTTTCTCCTTGAGTTGTTTCATGGACCAACAGCCTCATTTAAGGATTTTGCATCACAGCTGTTACCTCATATCTTTGCTTACTGTGTTCCCAGAAACTGCAATTATTTGGTCCTAACAGCTACATCTGGAGACACAGGGAGTGCTGTCTTAGATGGTTTTAGTCGTCTTAACGATGCTGACAAGCAAAGAATTGTTGTGGCCAGTCTCTTTCCTGAGGATGGAGTGAGCCAGATTCAAAAATCTCAGATGATTGGCTGCCAAAGAGGAAATGGATGGGCAATAGGTGTCAAATCTGACTTTGATTTTTGCCAGATGGCTATAAAACAAATATTTACCAATTCTGATTATACTGGCTTTCTTACTGCAGAATATGGAACAGCTTTAAGTGCAGCAAACTCTATAAACTGGGCTCGACTACTGCCTCAAGTGATTTATCATGCCTCTGCCTACCTTGACCTCGTTCATCAAAGTATTATTGCTTTTGGGAACCCAGTAGATGTGTGTGTTCCTACTGGAAACTTTGGCAACATATTAGCAGCCTTGTATGCAAAAAAGATGGGAATACCTATCAGGAAATGTATTTGTGCTTCTAATGAAAATAACATTTTGACCAATTTCATGAGAACAGGCCTTTATGACTTAAGGGGCAGAAGACTAATACGTACTTTGTCACCAGCAATAGATATTTTGAAGTCTTCCAACCTCGAACGACATTTGCATCTGATTGCTAATGGTGATGGACAGCTGGTGACACTATTGTTTAATCAGCTGGAAAATCAAAGCCACTTTCAGTTGCAGAATGAGCTACTTGAGAAGCTTCAGCAGGACCTGGTGGCTGGGTGGTGTTCTGAAGAGGACTGTTTAACTGCTATTCACTCTGTATACAGTACTACTGGGTATATTTTGGACACACACACAGCTGTTGCTAAAGTCGTTGCAGATCGATTACAGGATAGAACCTGCCCAGTTATCATTTCATCTACAGCTCATTATTCCAAGTTTGCACCTGCTATTTTGCGGGCTCTGAGGATTGCAGAAATAAAACAGAATCCATTAAGTCAGCTTCACTTGCTGAGTTCTTACAGCCCTTTGCCTCCAGTCCACCGAGGCCTGTTAGAGACATTGAAAAAGAATGAGATGCAGAAACATCAGGTCTGCGCTGCTGATGTTAATGTCCTTATGGCACATATAGAAACCTTAATACAAAACCGCTTCATGAAAGTTTCCTAAGTAAACTCACTAGGCATTTTCTATGTCAATTTAAATATTTTCTTCAACAAAGATGCATGTTTTAATAAAAGCATCATTCACAAGACCTGTGCCCAGTTTACATTCAGAACACATGTTCGCGTTTTCATTTTTAGCTTAACATTGCTTGTTAAAAATGTTCAATGCATGTGAGAATTTGAATCCTGGTGAAGGTTCTGAAATGATAGCCCAAGATACTGATGTGCCTTTTTCCAGAACAAGTAGGCTAAGGACAGCAGCAGTGCCAGCTTCTCCAGGCAATCCTTCTACTGTTCCTTGGCCTTGACCTGGAAGGAAGAAGGACTGCTAAGAAGAAAAGAAAAGACAGCTGCTGGCACCTCTGAGAACAAGTGCAATGAGTTGTATTTTTGTTGTGTATGTAGTTTGTGATGTGAATGCTTGTCTACTGGGAATTTTTGCTAAACCCTTAAACTCATTTCACAGAGCACTGAAAAGCTGTCAGATCTAGTAATATATGAAGACTGTTACTAATATAGTATACATTAATATTGCAAACCTTGAAGTGAAATTATCTACATCCCTTGAGCCATACAATCACACAGTTCTTTAATATGTTCTCTTACTTTATATTGTCTTTGTATTGACTGTAGCTGGAGTTTTATATAAAAATCTTGCTCTTCATCAAACATCAAGGGTTTCAAACCAACAGTTTGTATTTTTTTGTGTGAAATAAAAACCTTCACTCTATATCTTTTTAATAACTTTTTAAAGCATATTTCTTCCCATAATTCATTGCAGCTTCAACTTTGACAGTTTTTATTTGAATTCACAAGTTCAGAAGATTCTACACAAAAGTAATAGAAACTATCTTCTTGAATATGAAATAAAAATATTCAGTTCTTCAGTTTCTACCCTTTGCATTTTAAACTGTAAAATTTAAAGTATATGTTTAGGACTTCAGTATGCCTCTGGAAGTTTCTAACTTTATTTTTTGTATTATTCTTAGTTTTCTATTCTTGATTTTTGTGTGTGTGGTGTAGTGTAAATAAGACAGAAACTCAGTAGCAGAAAACAAAAGAAAATTGGGAACAAATTTACATTAATGCCACTGCACATTTTAAGTTTTCCCATGCTAAGGCAAATCTATTTTAGGTCATGTGATTCCCTCTATCAGGTGATGACTAGAGCAGGGGTGGCCAGTATACGCCCTGCGGGGCAGATGCAGCCCACCAGGCCATTCTGTCTGGCCTGTGGGGCCCCTAAAAAATTTAGCAAATTAATATTTATCTGCTCCTGGCTGCCTGTCAAAGATGAAAGGAGTCAGGGGCAGTAGGACCCAGCAGCAAGGCCTGTCAGGCCCCACCCCACCTCCAGCCCTTCCACTCCCTCAACCGGAAGCCTCTGCTCAGTGGAGGCTTCTGGCCTGGGACCATGGGGCTGTTCCTGCCTCCCTCTGCCAGAGAGGGAAATCCAGATAAGAATGGGAAGGGAGGGAGGAAGGGGAGGACCACGGGCAGTCGTTCCAGTCCTCAGGGATGGGCTGGGCTGGCTCCTGCTGAGTCCTATGGTTACACACATGCAGCTGGGAACTGCATGGTGCTGAAGCGCAGTGGTGTTGGGTAGGAAAGTGGTGGCAGGTGGGGGGGAGTGGGAGTGAGCTGGTGTGTGGGAGTGCGGTGACTGCTGGACGGGATTTCAGGGCCTGCACTAGTGTCCCAGGGCCAGTGCCAGTGGGGGCCCAGGGCCTGGGCTGGCAGGGGCTATGGAGTCAGGCTGGGTTGTGCCAGCATGGGGGGGGGGATGGCTTGGCTTCATAGAGTCCCTGCTGGCTTGGACTCCTGCTGCCCCACTCTGGGCTCTGGCTGGCCCTGGCTCTGGGACACCAGCGTTGGCAGACTACGAGAGCATGGGACATGCGCTGGTACCCCGGGTCCAGTGGGGTGGGGTGTGCATGCATGTGTCTGTACAATGAGGGAGGGAGGGGAGAGAGTGAGAGCAATGAGGGAGGGATAAAGAGAAAGTGTGTGTGTGCATGTGCACAATAAGGGAGGGAGAGAGAGTGTGTGTGTATGTGTTCATAGAGTGAGTCCCACATGCACACTGATTTGAACTGTCATACACACAGACCCCCACACCTCCCACACCCCCAGCCACCCTGCCCCCACACACAACCCCCCACAAACCCCATACCTACCCAGAGCCCACATATCCACACACCCACACCTATCCACCCCACAACACCCACACCCTCCCACAAACCTATATCCACCCCCCTTGCTCTCCCCGCACAATATATAAGACTAAGGCCATTATCCCAGGCTGAGTTGCTTCCAAAATATGTATGTTGTATCATAAATATAACAAATAATACCTTTTAATTTATAGATGAACTGTTCAATGTAAGTGTAAGCATTAAACATAGTTTTTTTCCATTGCTGTGCATGGCATCCTTTTCAGGATGTTTCCAAGTTATTTTCTCTGCACTTTTTAGCTCTATCATAGTTCCTTATTGTATCTGTAATCCTGGAAACTCAATTTATATTTTTTTTCCTCAAGAAGCGGTATGGGAAGGCCCCCAAATACATGTTGGCACACTAAGCATTTTCATCTAGTACAATATCATGAGGGGAAAAAAGGTAGCACAACTTTATTACTGGAGAGAAGAATCTGTGGTCCATTGTGTTAGTGTCCTGCTACCTTTTCATTTCTGGCAGTCCAAGTTAGACTTTTCACTCTGGACTCATATGTGCTCAGTGTCAAATATGTACATGATTTGGTATGATTGTCAATTTAAAAACCAAAAAAAAAGCCTGGATTGAAATAATATTGATGTTTCATAATAGGGATGGCTTGCAGCCCAGGATTGCATTGGAAATTGCACAATGTCTGGCTATGCTGAGCTTAGATCAATATGATTTTGTCTTCTCATGAGTATTGGAGTTTATTATAACCCAGATTCTATTCTTCTAAGATATCAAATTGAAACTTACCCAGTTTACTCTCCTCCATCCTACTGAATGCAGTCCTGTTCCATCCCACTGGATGTCATAAAACCACAAAGGCCTCTGGATTCCTTTTGCTTTTCTAATTAGGCCTGAAAAGATCCCTAGGTACTAGATTTGGCATGCTGTGCACGAAGAGAAAAGATTCAGAACAGCCACTGAGACATCTGTTGAGCACCAGTTCTTCCGCTGAAGCACATCCACCTAAGTCCAGATTCCTTAGAAAGAAAAGAGCACACTGAGCAAGTGAAGTTGAAAGGCAGAGGATTCACCTACCTTTTGCCCAGTAATGTAGTTTTAGGGTACTTACATAGTTAGGCTTTGGTTCTAGGCCTCAAACAGCCAGAGGTGGTTTGAACCCACACCTTTCACTTTCCTAACAACCAGTTTATGAGCTGGACAGGACTGAGAGCATCTATGGTTCTTGCTAAAGCTGACCCACTGTCAGGTGCCCTCAGAGGCAACTCAGCCTGGGATAATGGCCTAGCAGGCTACATCTGTCTGGGGCTTTGACTGGCAGCTCTACCCCAGCTGATGATGCCAGCTGGCCACTAGTAAGGCATCTTGACTGGCTCCTGGAAGAGAAGTCTATTCATTTAGTTTTAGCTGTGGTAGCAGACTCCAGACCAGCCAGCAGTTCATGCTGAAGGTTTGCCCTGCAGCTCTCTGTGATGGAGTACTCCAGTTTCCCTGACTCTGCTCGCTCTGTTCCTGGATTCTGGTTTCTGAAGTTTCCTTTGGGTTTGGTAAGTCAGTCTCTGACTCCTGAACTTTGACTTGACTTGTGATTTGGACCTTGCCTCTGGATTTCCCCTTGATCTAGTAACTTAGTATCTGTTTCCTGACCTTAGTCTGGCCTGTGTTTTGGACTCTGATCCTGTCTTTGGCCCTTTGCACCCCCTACAACTTGGAGAACAGGAAGCTAGTATGAGAGGGCAGCAATCAGGTAGGTAGCTGAACAAGGGCTAGCTGCAGAGAAATAAGCAGCCAAGGTAGTTAAAGAAAGCACCTAACATGTAGCAGGTGACTACTTGAGAGCTAACTGTATGGGCAAAAGCAGACTACAGCAAGCTGAGGACTGGGCTGATTGGAGCCCACTGGGCAGGGTGGAGGCCATGTGACTGGAAAGGGTGGAGCCACGGCATACTAAAAGCCTGGATCCTGAGCCAGTGACCTCAATCTGGCCCTGACCTTTGAGAGTAGGACTCCTGAAGGCCTGGGCTGCTAAAATGAGGAAACTTGACTAATAGAGAAGCTGCAAGGAGCTAATAGATTGGAAGGCAGAGTTTGCTGGGAGCTCCAGGACGGGTTTGTGTTTTAGTGTTGGCTGATACTGGGTCTGTAGGGGTGGTGTGGAAGCTACAAGTAGGTACCTGGGAGGCACTTTGCTGTAGAAGAGGCTAAGGCCCAGAGTGAGAGCTGGGTAAGGGTCTGGGAGCCAGTGTGCTGTGTGGGACTAAAGGCAAGCAGTTAGAGCAGTGGTCACCAACCAGTGGATCTAGATCCACCAGTAGATCTCGGAGCCTCTTTAAGTCAATTGGAGGCTGGGGTGGGGGCCCGAGTGCCTGTGTGCATGCATGTGTGCACCCCAGCTCAGCAGATCAGTCTGTAGGGGAGGGAAAGGACAGGGGCTAAATTGAGTCCCCTGTGGAGAGGGACAGTGCCGCAGAGGTATAAGCAGGGGTAAATTGAGTGGGGCCCAGGCTGCATGGGATTTACCTGCTGGGGAGGCATGCCCCCAAATAATTTTTTTCCCCCCTCTGCCTCCCTCTTCCTTCTCCACAGACTTACCTCCTGGGGGGGGGGGGGGGGGGGGGGG